TATATATATATATATTGGCTAGAAAAATAAGCATAGATACATTTATGAATGCAGGAGCTTCAGCTGGATGAGTTCATAACGCATGAAGTAGGGTTTGATGAAATAAACAAAGCCTTTGATCTTCTCATTAAAGGAGAGAGCCTCAGATGCATTATATGGATGGATAAATCAGACTATTAATTCAAGGGAATTTAGATGAAATAAAATGAATTTTCAATTAATTTTTGCTTTAATGCCTCGAGTCAGCACTTTAATATATATGTATTAAGAAAATTTATTTGTAAAAATAATTTTATTTCCTTTTTTAGTTCCAATTATCTATTTTTAATTTGTGCATGTGCTAAGAAGTATCTTTGGATAGGAATCTTTTTTTCTAAAACACAAGCACCATATGATGATTGCCGACCTCGCCTGTTGAAACGATAGTTGCATGTATTAGGGCCTGTTTGGGGCAGTTTATTTGGTGTGGTGGCGTTTTGAAACACACCTGATTTGTTTGGGTAAACTGCGTTTTGGCGGCTTATGCGTTTTGAAAACGTTGAAAACAACGTTTTCACACCGCACTTATCTAGGTGCGGTGGCAGCTTTCTGGCAACAATTTGACTTTTTTAAAAAAAATAAAAAATTGTAATATCCAACGCACCTAGCTTATCAACAGATTATTTTTTAATCAACTTATCAGCTGATTATTCAATAAGCTCCAGGTGCCCCAAATAGACCTTTAGTTGTATTAAATTTTTGAAATTCATTGAGTGATGAAGGAGGTCTACGCGCTTTTGTGTGGTTGGTGTTCGATTCTTAGGGTCCGTTTGAGGCAGCTTATAAGTGCGGGCGGCGTTTTCAAAACATAGAAATGCCGTCGTAGGGTCCCGTAGGGCCCGATTCTTAGGGTCCGTTTGGGGCAACATATAAGAACCTAGCTTATGCGTTTTGAAAACGTCGCGGTACCGTTTGGTTCACGCGTTTCGTCAGCTTATCCGAAACTGCGTTTGAGTTTTTACACTAAATGCAGGCCGCGGGTCGACCCCTGCGACCGGCTCGCAGGCCGCATTTCTGCTTATCCTGAACGCAGAAGCTGCCCCAGTCTATTTGGAAGAATGAATTGATGTCGTCTATTTTACTCTATTTAAAACGAATGGCTCGGATTAATTCATATGGGCAAAAGTGTTCGGATAATGCACAGGATCACGACGGCCGAGCTTACTCAGAGGCTGACACAGACGGCGGACCTGACGCAGGAGGCCTTTAAATAAGAAATTCTTTGATTTTCTGAATTAAAAAATCCTTTTAATTCAACAGAATCTTAAAAAATCATAAAAAAAAAAGAAAATAATAAAAATATGTTGGATTTAGAAAAACTAGAAAAATTAAATAAAAATATAATCAAAATATAATAACATTAAATAAATTTTAATAGATTTTTAATCCACTAAAGCATCAATAATTCATAAAATTCTAAATATAAATCAAAATAAAATGAAATTATATATGATTCAGCTTATTGACCATGTGATATCTCTATAATTTTCCCATGAACAGAAAAAAAATATTGGTTACTTAAATAGAATTTCCTTCTAATTTTGCATTTATTAAAATAAATAATTCTAGAAATTGAAATATATTTTGGAAAATTATGAAATAATTTCCGAAATATTAATTGTCATATGGGTGATCATTTTATTCAATTAGACAGTAGCTTGGAGCACCGTATGATGATTTATTAAATTTTCTTAAGAAAGATATATCTGTAAATATTATATTTATACATTAAAACTCCTCATTAAGACTTGAACAACAAAACACTGTTAATATTTTTGAACTTTAAATTCGTTTTGAGGTAGATTTGTAAGTTTCTTTGAATTTACAAAAGTACCCCTATTACATTCTCCCTCTCTAAATGAAAGAAATTGAAGTGATGCAACTCAAATAATTGAACCACATTTTTAATCAAATGAAGATACATCATTAAAAAATATTTCAGACCTAGGTAGAAATGATTGCAGTATAAATAAGGTATTCACAAATTTACCTATGTAAGGGTCCGTTTGGGGCAACTTATCTGGTGCGGTGGCGTTTTGAAAACTCATCTGACGTGTTTGGATAAACTGTGTTTTGGCAGCTTATGCGTTTTGAAAATGCTGAAAACAGCGTTTTCACACCGCACATATCTAGATGGGATGACAGTTTTTTGGTAGCAGTCTGGCTTTTTCAATAAAATAAAAATATGTAATTGCCACCGCACTTAACTTATTAGAAAATTAATTTTAATCAGCTTATTAGCAGATTACTCAATAAGCTGTAGCTGCCCCAAACAGACCCTTAGTAACATTTGAATAACCTCTCTTATAAAACTTCAAATTGAATGAAATTTTCACCCATAGGTTAATTGAACGAAAAGAAGTTAAAAAAATACCAAATTTACTATGATTTATTATTTCTAAAATTATTTTATATTAATAACATATTAATAAGTTCAATAATTCATGAATAATCTAAAATGAACTTGAAATGACTCAGAAAATTTTGAGGTTGTTCGCAATCATATTTCAAAGATTTTAGAAAAATTTTGAGTGTTATGGAGATCATTTAGATTTATTATAAATTGTTAAATAAAAAATATTTTTAAAAGTAAAATAATTCTAATAAATCGAATAAGATGCAAAAATTTACAAAATTTTAGCATGCGGGCTTAATATACATCCATGAAAATTATTTTAAATTATTTTGAAGTCATTTAAGTTAAAATATCTAGAATTTTAAAAATTACAAAATTTTTGAACAAAATAATTCATAAAAGTTCACAAAACAACCAAAATTTCTAAAAAAATATACTAATTGAGTATATAAGAACCATATTCACTTTTCCAAGTGATTTGTTGGATCTTATGAGCTTTAATAATATTAAACCTTAATATATGTATTCAAAAACAACATACATAGGTTTCATTAAAAAATAATAAAATATATATAATAAAATAATAATAATAATAATAATAATAATAATAATAATAATAATAATAAACAATAATAATTAATCCATTGGGCTTACAAGGGCTTCTTGGACTACACAATTCATGGTTACCAACAAAATTCTTCTAGTCTGAGCAACTTTAACTATCTCTCTAGGCTAAGTAAATAAAAAATCATCAGCATTGTCGGGATGAAAGAACCATTGGATTTTGACCGGTGTTGCATAAAATAAAATTTAATTAATTTTCAATAGTCACTTCTGCATGTTAAACTTTTTATATTCCCACAAACCTAAATTTGTTTTGCAAAGCTATTATAAGTAAATCATTATAAGAACCTAAGATAGGCCTTTCAAGGTATTATTTTTTTCTTTTCTTGAGTTATTTTCTTTATAAAGTGAAGTAGTGTTGTGGTTATCTATCTAACTATCAATATCTGAGACATCCAAAAGAAGACGAAACACGAAGCGAAGGATTAACCTCAACTAAATCATCGATGTTATCTGAGATTATTTTAATTAACAAGTCTAACATGAGTTTTAGGATTCTGAGATTGTTCACATAGTATGATGTAAATCCTCACACTCTCTTAAAACTTTTGCATGAATGTATGTTGTGCAATATAAGTTCTAACTTTTTAGA